CAAATTTTGCAACACCAATTACTTGCTCAATAGAAAGACGTTTTCAGCAACATAAATGATGACTATACATGTAGGCCTTAGTGGATGGATTTCACAGGAATCAAACTGATTATATCTGTGGAAAAAGGCGATGGAGGTATGCTGTATTATCAGTCAAGTTAAAGCCAGGAGCTGACTGTGGGAAGGATCATCAATTATTTATATAAAAATCCAAGCTGAAGGTGGAAAAAAAAATCAAAGCAGGTCCTCAAAAGTCAAAGGATGACCTTGAACACATCTTGTTTAGCACTAGAGAACATTTCAAGAATGGATTTGACACATTGAACACTAATGACCAAAGACTAGACAGACAAACTGTGAGATTATATGAAGGAAATAAAAAATGAAGTGAGTAAGAATTCAGTAAGAAGACATAAAACAGGAAAAAACCAAAAATGGATGTCAGGAGAGATTCTGAAACTTTCTCTTAAGGCCAGAGTAACTAACGTGAACAGAAGATGAGATGAAATAAAAAAGCTCAGCAGAAGACTTAAAAGGGCAGCTTGAGTAGAGGACTATATCCCAGCAACAAAAGTGCAAAGGCTTGAAGTTAGAAACCAGAAGGAAAGAACATATCTACACAAAGGAGCTAAAAAGAGACTTGAAAAGCCTTAAGTTGCAATATTGAATGATTCCATGCCAAAAAAAGAAATCATATAAGAAGCATTAAAAAAAATGGAGAGAATACACAGTGCACACACCCAAAAACTGGTCAGCATTCAATAATTTCATATAATCTAAAACAGATGGTATTAAGAGAAGTTGCACTGAAAGCATTGGCAAAGAATGAATAGGAAATTATGTAATACAAATTGAGATGCTTCAGCAAACATATGTGATGCTGGAAATACTTGATCAATCTATGTTAAGAACCTTGGAAGGTAGTTATTTTACTGCCTGGAAGAGATCCATACTCATGCTAATTCCAAATAAAGGTGATGAAACAGAATGTGGAGATTTTTTGCCAATGCTATTAATAAAAGGTTACCTGGGAGATACAAAAAGTTAGACATTTATTTAATAGCGAAAACATTAGTGGTCCACTGCATCACCAGAGCCTAGAACTTTCAATAAAATTTATATCTGAACATTTGAAAAACCAAACCATGAAAAAAATAATAAGGAAAAAAACCCTCCTTACAACTGGACCAATAGACATCATGATAAATGGAGAATACAAGATTATTAGTATTTTTTTGGGTGCAATTGGAGATGTTTATTTTGAAAGAGGAAGGTGGCTTTTGCTACAAGGACTGGAGGAGGAAGCAGATCAGAATGTTTTTATTGAAAGAGCTGATGGTTTATCATGGACATCTTTGCACTCATTGTGATTTTTTAAAAAATGTGGCAAAATAATATTTATCTTGATAACTTAGTGTGTGTGTACACGTGCATATGAGCATATGCATGTATGTTGTTTTTAATTGGGTCAGAACTGACCCATAGCTGATCCTCTGATGGGTTTTTAGAGGCAGTTAATCACTTGGGAGATTGCCCATCCTTCTCCCACAGAGCACCCTGTGGCCTTGAACCACGTGCCTTTGGAATTGCACCACAGCCTCTTACCACTAGGCCTCTAGAGCTAAATCTCCGCAAATTTGATGCTCAAGCCTCTCTTCCTGCCCTGCTTGCAGTACTTTGTTCTTTCATGACTTTAGTGTTAGACCAGAACAGAGAAGTCCTAAGGAAAAGGCCTAGGTTCTCCCTCTGAGTTTAAACTTTTGATTCCAAACCCAGCAGCAAGCTCAGCTGCTAAGAGACTGGGAGTTCAAACCCACCAAAGGCTCTATGTGAGAAAGACCCAGTGATCTGTTTCTGTAAAAATTACAACCAGGACAGAACGTTGCTCTTAAAGTTTATGTACTACCCCCCACTATGGTGAATAGTATCTGCATACTTAAAAGATTAAGAATATAAACTATAACTATTGGCCTTTATTTGTCTGGCACGGTACCAAACAGAAAGAATCAGAGAAGAAAGTAGATTATAGGACTAATACCCACATGGACTGTTGCCTCTTCTGTCTTGGGGACAGAGGAATTACATAATATCCTACCACTTTTATGGACTTTCATATCAGTCACACAGCTGATGAATTCTGATTTTAAAGAAAGAAAGAGGAGCGGAGGGTGATGTTGGAGAACAAGGTGAGAAGAATTTCACATTCTTAAAGATTCAAGACTTACTGGAGTCCCTGATACTTGCCTGGGGTTGTTCTTCAAATTTGAATAGAAATTATCCCCTGAAGCCACTTTTTAAAAAATAAATTTTTTATTTTAATTGTAACTTTTATAAGAGTTTACAGAAAAGTTAGATTTTTATTCATTCATTGTTGCACATTTTACTTGTTCTCCCTTTCCCCTCCTTCAGTACCATTTTTTTTGGTTATTTTAGTATTCATTCATTGTTGCACACTTTGTTGATGAATCTTCATTCAGTCCTGATGCCACAATGCTCATCATAAGGTCCATCCCACCACATGATCTGCTTTACATATAGATTGAAAAGTTATGAAGACAAGATGCATCCCTGACATATACTTGTCCTGATTTTGAACCATGCAGTATTTCCTTGCTCTTTCTGACAACTGTCTCCTGGTCCAAGTATAGATTTCTTCTCCAGGTTAGCCACACTTTGTTGTGATCCACACAGTCAAATCTCTGCATAGTCAATGAAACACAGATAAATATTCCTCTGGATGTTAGATGGATTTTAGCTGAACGCAGGGAATACCAAAGAATGTCTATCTGTGTTTCATTGATTATACAAAGGTGTTTGACTATGTGGATCATAACAAACTGTGGCTGACTCTGAGAAGAATGGGAACCCCAGAACACTTGATCATGCTAATTAGAAACCTATACTTGGACCAAGAGGCAGTCATCAGAACAGAGCAAGGAAACACTGCATGGTTCAAAATTGGGAAAGGTGTCCTCCAGGGATGTGTCCTGTCTCTATATCTTTTCAACCTGTATGCAGAACAGATTATCCGAGAGGCTGGGCTCTATGAGGAGAAGTGTGGCATCAGGATTGGTGGAAGATCTATCAACAGTCTGCGTTATGCAGATGACAAACCCTGCTTGCTGAAACTGAGGATGACCTGAAGTGCTTGCTGCAGAGGGTCAAGGACTGCAGTCATCAGTATGGATTGAGGCTCAATATCAAGAAGACAGAGATTCTCACCACTGGACCAATTACCAGCATCAGGATGGATGATGAAGAGATTGAGATTGTTCACAGCATTAGTCGGCTTGGCTCCACGGTCAACACTCTTGGCACCAGCAGGCAGGAAATTAAAAGATATATTGCAATGGGAAAGTCTGCTGTTAGGGACCTCTCCAAAGTACTGAAGAGCAATGGTGTCACTCTTGAGACTAAGGTGCATTTGATACAGGCCATGGTCTTTGCTATCACTTGTTATGCATCAGAGAGTTGGACAATGACTAAGGAGCACAGAAGGAGAATTGATGTGTTTGAGCTGTGGTGCTGAAGAAGAGTATTGAATGTACCATGGACTGCCAAGAAAACAAAGAGATTCATCCTGGAGAGCGTTAAATCAGGCTGCTCCTTGGAGGCAAGGATTCTGGGGCTTCGTCTGACATACTTTGGACATGTTGTAAGGAGGGACACCAGTCCTTGGAGAGGGACATCATGCTTGGGAGGGTGGAAGGACAGAGCACGAGGGGAAGACCTTCTATGAGGTGGATTGATTCAGTGACTGGGGTAATCTGGATGAGTGTGTCAGAGTCAGTGCGATTGGCACAGGATAGAGCAGGGTTTACGGCTGTTGTACATAGGGTTGCTATGAGTCACAAGCAATTCGACAGCACATAACAACAACACCAGTGTCTGCTATCAGTAAAGACTCATATGACATTTGCAATAATATCCCTAGTGTCACAGCCACTCCTAAAGCCAGTCAATACACTGTTTTAGTAATTTCTGGGTGATCTTCAGCAAGAATTAATGTGCATGTAGTACTTGTGATATTGTTTAATAATTTCTACACTCTGTCAAATCACCTATTTTTTGGAATGGGAATAAATATAAATCTCTTCCAGCCAGTAAGTAGATCAAGTGTTTGTCCTCCCAATTTCTTGGCACAGTCTGTTAAGCATGTCCAGGGCTGCATTTTTTTTATGAAATACGTTAATTGGTATCCATCAATTCATGGGACCTTGGTTTTTGCCAATTTCTTCAGAGCAGCTAGAACCTTCTCCTTCATCACCATTTCCTCTTGGTCGTACATTGTCTGAACTCACTTTTAAACTCAGTAACACTTTAACCCAAAGATGCTTGTCATCCTTTGGTTAGTGTGTTTCTTTAAAATAAAAAAAGGAAAAAAACCAGAAAAACCCCACAAAAACAAACAAAAAACCCCAACAAAAACCTAAACCTATATAAGCCCAAAGCATCAACAACTATTTTACAGCACAGAATAAGAAAGCAAGGAGATTAAATAAACAGAGGTGAAACACTTAGAACATAATTAAAGAATGTTGACACCTGTGAAGAGTATAAACCAATGTTATTGATCATATTGCTCTCAGTGCATTCTCATTCCCAGCGACCCTACAGAAATCTAAATTGGGAGAGAAGTGTATTTCCATCAAAAGTCAAATTAAATAAATAAAAAAGATTACAACTAAAAAAAAAAAAAAGATTACAACTGAGGAAACCCTACAGGACAGTTATACATGAGGCCACGGCCACTATTTGGCCAAGGGGAACAATAACCTCAACCACCAGACTGGATCTTTAAGTATACCAGGAAAACAAGGGCTGAGGCGTGGACTACATCTCCCAGAAGGCTGCGCGGTACGGCGCCCCCGCTGATTGGCTGCGCAGGCCCCACCTCCGCCCCGCCCCTGGCCGGATGACCCAGGGTCTTGAGTCCCGGGGTAGTGTGCTCCAGAAAAACCAGCTTCCCAGCCGAAGCTCAACCTTGCACAACAGGCTGAATGGCGGCGCGGCCTGCGTCCCGGATGCTGAGGAGGGTCCTGAGGATCTGCACGCGGAGCTGCAGTTCGTGGGCTCCGGTGACGCAGCCCAGTCCCGGAGAGTCCTCCCAGCCTGTGGTGGAGGTGAGCCTGCCCCGCTCGCCGCCCCGCATCCACACCTTCCAGGAAGGGGCCCCCTGGCCAGCTGACCCTTTCTCTGAAAAGCACCAAGACCTGCTCTAGGAGAAGTCTTTTGGAGGGACCCCATGGTGCTTAATAGGGGGGTGCATTGGGGATGAAACAATGTTTTCTTTGCACTGCCCGGTTGACTTACAAGCAATCCTAGGAAAAGGGGCTCCCGGCGCACTCAGCCATGCACCCCCATTCCAGGCGTGAGTGCCTGTCAGCAGTGTGGTAATAAGACTAAACTTTAGGTCCTGTGTAGTGTGTTCTAAGTGCCCCCCAGCAGCATCCCCCACACAGCCTCTTCCTTAAGTGACTTTGTGGTCAGTTATCTCTGAGACAAGGCATGGTGTGAGACCGAGGAAAAATGTCACCTTGGTGCCACCCTCTGTCAGTCTTTGCTCTGTAGTCACAGGACTCTGGCTCGCCCTTCATGGACTTTCTGTTTCATCTTCATTTCCCCTGAGCCTCTTTCTGGAACAGAACAGAGGACCTGGGGTGCTTGCAGTTTTGGTAACCTTAGATCTCCTTAGAGTTTGTGGTCAGCTCATCCAGCCTTTGGCAGGTGTGCCCCAGAGTGTTGTGAGAGATAACAAGTTTTAAATTCGTTGTTGTTCTTTCCATGTGGTCAGGAAGTAATCTTGAAATTACTTTAAAAAAAAAATTGAGAGAAGATATGGTGGCTTAGTAAAGAGGAGTTGTGCTACCACCCAAAGACAGAAGCCAGGCAGTTGGAATCCCCTAGCTGCCCTGCAGGAGAAAGATGGGCTGTCACGTCCTGGACCACTTACAGCCTCCGCAAATCTGCTGGAGGGTTTGCAGTGAGTGGGTTCCAGCTCAGCACAGCTAACAACAACTTTTTATATGGAGACACTTATTTTCATGGCCTGCTTTAACCACCCCCCGCCCCTTGGCTTTGCAGGGCTAGGCTTCACATCCTGGAAGCCTTTAGATAACACACACACACCCACACACACACACACACACACACACACAGTTATTCAACTTGGAGGACACCTTTAGCTTGTCTTGTTTTCTCTTTCTCCCATTTTGAGTCTCAGATAAGCAAACCCCATTTTAGGGAACTGGAGACCTTTCCTCCTAATGTCCTTGAACTCTGAACTTCTTTGAAGGAAAAGTGGAAAGCAAAGACTGTTGAGATTTTTTTCAACCTACATGGTCTCAGGCAGCCTTCACAGCAACCCCTTAGGAGATAAGTTGTGAGTTGCCAAGCAGAAGATTCTGAGGTTTCCAAAGCTGTGACTTCTCTAAGGCCAACAACTGAGTGCCTTTTGGGTAAGTCACCTAGCTGACTCTTTGGCCAACAGGCTAGCACTTAACACTTCCTGCCGCTCAGGGACCCCTGTAATGTCACAAGGTCTGTATTTTCAGATTGGAAAACTGAGGCTTACCAAAGTGAAGTAATTTCATTCTAGCCCTAATTCTGTAAAGTAGCGGAACAGGAATTCAAACTCCAGCCATTGTGTTCATGTTTTTTTCCCTGGGAGGCATTCAGAGGGGCTCTTCCTGTCTGTCCCTCTGGATGGTGAGAGAAGCTGTCCATTCACCCAGCTGGACAGTGGGTAAGAACATGGGCTCTGGAGCAGAAGCCCAGCTCCACCACTGGGTTGATTTGTGACTTTGAGCAAGTCTTTTTTTTTTTTTAACTTCTCAATATTTTCATTTTCTTAACTTTAAAACTTTGAAGTAGAAAGCCTACTTTCTAAGAGGGTTGTAAGAGTTCAAGTAGTAAACTGAAATACTTAGAAGAGAGCTCTGATGGCCTAGTGGGTAAAGAGTTGCACTGCCAGCTCAAAGGCAGGCAGTTCTAATTCACCAGCTGCTCTATGGGAAAAAGACGGTCAATTTCCTCCTGTGTAACTTACAGTCTGAAAACTTGCTGGAGAGTCAGTTGGTTCTGACTTGAAACAATGAGTTAGTTTTAGTTAAGTACTTAGAAACAAGTATTACATAAATGTTTGTTGTAATTGTTGCTATTGTCTTTGCTACCTTTGCTCAAGTAGTATGATCCTATTGGACCTCTCCCACCTGGGTATTCAGGGTAGTTATTGTGTCAACTGTTTGATCCCAGGCACTGTTTGATCTCAGGGTTGTCCTTGTACTCGGCAAACTTTGAGAACCCCCGAGTAGAGTACTGGGTACTCCCTGCCTTTCTATGTATTTCCTCACAGCGCTTAGCAGAGGAATAGCATCAGCAGATCTTTTTCATTGTTGGAAGCCCAGCTAGGGACAGGCCACGTGAGGTAGTAGACAGGATGTTGGCTAGTATGCAGTTTCTCATGCTCTGCTGTGCCTGGAACCTATACTCACCTCCTTCTTTTCCCAAGTGTAAAACTTCTACTCTGAATCAGCCCATCTTTATGCAGTGAAGGTAAGACACAGAATTCTGCATTCCATAGAAACGTCAGGGGTGAGCAGAGTTCTGAGAGCTCTGGGCCCATCACAGCCACAAAGCCTGTCTGGTGGCAAGAGCAGAGGGAGGGCATTCTCTGCTCTCCTCCCTGTAGAGTCCCTCTTCCCGTGTCCACCACTGGGCTCTGGTGTCTTGTCTGGGATGGGAGGTGCTTGGAGAGGCAGAATGAAAAGCCACTGGGCATTTTCCGTTTGTTGGTTTGCTGGTGATTCAAGTACGGCCTATAGTGACCCTGTGAACAACAGATCTGAACCCTGTCCTACCCTGTACCATCCTCACACTCCCTGAAACACTAGAGCCATTGAAGCAATCACAGTGTGTCAGTCAGGCTTTTCTATTTGAGTGTCAGAATATGGGTGTTTAAGAGAGGAGTGAGTTGTGGAGCATGTGGAGCAGGAGCTGGCTGTTGGAACTATAGGAAGGGGTTCTTGTTGTGAAGTACCATCAAGTCAGGTACAACCCATAATGATCTTATCAATGGTGAATCCGAACCCAGCCCTATTCTGCGCCATCCTCGTCATCTCCTCCGTAGTCAGTCCCATTGCTGCAGTTACTGTGTCAGTCCATCTCACTGCGGGCTTTCCTTTCTTCCACTGACTTTTCCAAGCATGATGTCCCTTTCCAAAGAATAGCCCCTCCTAGCAACATGTCCAGAGTATGTGAGACAAAGCTTTGCCATGCTTTCCTCCAAGGAGCAATCAGGTTTCTCCAAGACATATCTGTTTATTCTTTTGCCATCCATGGGATTAGTCAGGACTCTTCTCTAAAACCACAGTTCAAAGACCTCAGTTCTTCTGTCATCCTTATTCATGGTCCATCTCGTAGATGCATATGAGAAGGGAACCTTGGGCTCTATCTAAGGAGAAGTTGAGCAGCTTTTACAAGTGAAAGGGGAGGTGATGGTGTATGAGGAGGTGAGTAGAGGAGACAAAGTCCTCTCGTTACTCCTTCTAAAAGCTGCTCGACTTCTCCTTACACTCAGCGGCTTTCCGTTCTGCCTCTCCAAGCACTTCCCATCTCAAAAACATATAACAACATGTAACTGGAATCTGGAAGATCTGCCCCATCTGAGGAGCTTGCTTGCTTTCTCTCAGGTCCTGTGCAGGCAACAGGACCCTGGAACTGGACTGAAGCCCTGGACATGTAGGGCTGGGGGGAAGATGGCCCTGGGTAAAGCAGAGACCCCTAGCATTCGGGGGCCAGAAAGAAGGAACACAGAAGAAGAGTTTACAGGAAAGAGATGTGTAAGCTAGAAGGCAGGAGAAAAGCCATGTCCTGGTGGGTGATACCTGGAGGGAAGGGAGACTCATCAGCAGGCCTTGTTGACTTCTGGTCCCCCAATTCCACAGTCTTTTCAGTCAGGTGTTAACCTCCTTGCCACAGAGAGGGGAAGTGAAAGAGACTTGGGGCTGGCTGAACTGTGTCCACTCCTGTGACAGAGATTGCTTTTATCTGGAGGGCTCTTGGTATATGTCACTCAAAATAAGAAATTGAGGGCACTGACATTTGAGTTTGTAATGTGTACTTTTTCTCCTGGATAGATCTATGACTCTGTCTGAATTGTGGAGTGATTTGGGGCTGGACTTTCTCAGTCCAGGTGAATACCTCAGGTTAGTGACCACTGTAGAGGATCCTTTGAGGATGGAGTCCCTCACTGACCTAATTCTCTTGTGTCAGTATTCCCTAGCCATCTCCTACTCTGCTCTGAGTTGGTAGGTGGGGGAATTTTTTTCCCCCGATTGCAATTAAGTCACTTCTCACTCAGGGCAGCCCAAGGTGTGTCAGAGAGAAAACTGGACAGCGTATAATTTACAGTGGCTGGTTTTTCAGAAGTATCACTAAGACTTTTTCCACAGACTCAAACCTTCATCTTTTTTTAGCAGCCATGCATATAAACTGTTTGAACCACCCAAGAATTCAGATAAAAGATAACTAGTAACGTCTGGCAACCAGTAACTGACGTCGTTATGTGTCTTGAATCAGATCAACTCATAGCTGAACCTCCAGTGGGTTTTCAGGGTTTGTAAATCACAGGAGAGGAGATGGTCCATATTTCTCTGAAGAGTCCTGGTGGATTTGAACTGTGTGCCTTTGAGTTGACAGTGCAGCTCCTTACCACCAGCCTGTTTTCTGGTACTCGTGGGCCAGGGGTGCTCGGAACTCAGGTGTCTTGTTTTGGGTAATGTGATAACAGTTCTGAAACCTTTGTCCTTGGGCCGTGTGTTCTTGAGTAGAGTTGGGAAATTCAGATTTTTTTTCATTCCTGGAAAACTAACACAGAGTGAGGAAAAACTGGTCACAGCACCCACAGTTTGCTCCTCCTAAACTATATGATTAATGAATGAATATGTGCATACAGAATTGCATTAATAAAACTGTATTGATGGTTCATTGAATTACCTACTATGTGATAGAAACTGTATTCTCTCATCCATACCTCCAATTCAATTAGATGGCATTATCCCCATTTTATAGGTGAGGAAACTGAGGCTTAGAGAGTTAAGCCCTCTTGCTCGTAGCTGGCCAGGAACAAAGTCAGGCTTTTCCCGAGTCTGCACTTAAAATTGCAACAGCTGTCCCTGGCTTTACAGAGTTTTTTATGTTGGTTTACCCAGGTGCATGGCTCTTAACCATGGATAGCTCAAAACTGGGACATTTTTAAAAATAAAACAAAACAAAACACACAGACCCCCCAAAAAAGGCAGTGAGGTGGAGCCCCAACATCAGTACTTGTCAACTTCTTCAGGTGATTAGAAGGTACAGCTCTGTTTGCAAATGACTGTCCTAGCTTCATTTTGACAGAATTGAATTACCACTGCCGTGCCTCGGGCTTTTTATGCCTCGTCTTACTCTTTGCATTGGGAATAGACCTGTTTGTTCACTTGACAAAATGGTTCAACACTTTCTGCCAGTTTACTGTGCTAGCCATTAGGAATATCAATTCAGGCAGGAAAGCCTCCCACAAAAATTGTCTGGGGAACACTGCAGGTGTAGGGTCCTGCTACACACCCACTAGCCCTTCCTGTATGAAGCCACCATCTGTTCTGCCTGGTGACACTTTCTGCCTCCTGGGCTCCTTCACCTGGTTCTGATAGTTTGTTGTTTGGGATTTGAGGGGTTTCCTCCCCACCAGCATATTTTAAAGGTGCCTTGGTAGCACAAAGTAGTAAGCTTGTGGTTGCTATCTGAAAGGTTAGTGGTTTGATCCCACTCAGTGGCTCCCCTGGAGAAAGACCTGGCTCCCATAAACAGGGCAGCCAAGAAGACTCTATGGGCCAGTTCTTCTCTGTCACATGTAGATGGAAATCGCTATAGATGGAAATCACTTTGACAGCGGCTAACAACAGCGGGGGATTTAAGGGAAAGGAAGAGTTGAAATGATAAAAGTAGGACACCAGCATCGGAGAACAGGAGGTGAAGGACAGTGGCCGATGAAGCCTGCTAATGCCCTGATAGTGCATTTGTGTGTTCCTCCTGTGGAGTGAGGGTGTAGGTCAGGGTGAAGGTGTAAGTGCAGGTGTAGATGTGGGTGTGTAGGAAGCTGGGTCACAAACCAGCAATTCAGAGTCTCAGTGCCCCTAGATAAGATCACTCGAGGTCAGAGAAGTGAAATCTGCCTGGCCCCTCCTCCGACCTGAGCCAGCATGCCCAATGCTAGCCTCGATTGCCTCATCATCATCGCACTGTTTGCACTCTGCTTTCTGCTGACTCACACTTCTTGGGCTTCTCACCAGCTGCTGATTCCTGGATTTACTCAAGCTCCTGCCTCACCGAGCTGCCCCAGTCTGGTAAGATGGGTGTGAGGTAGAGGTATCTTGCTCAGCGAGGAGGTAGAGTGTGGGCTGACTAACCAGTACCTGGGCGCTTGATAAAAGGGTTCTACTCTACCTTGAATACAGGTTCCTGGATGTCTCTTCTCAGGTGACTCTGGTCAGCACTGGCATTCTTAACTGGGGAGCACCTTCTACATCAGCCCCTGTGCTCCTGGTGGAATAGCGAAGAGGGGAGCTTGAATGTTCGTTCAGTTGCTGTACAGGAAGGAAGCAGGTGGCTGTTAGGACTAGAGAGGATTGCAGGTCAGAGAACTAGTTGTTTCTCCCTTAGCAGGAAACTAGTTTTAGGACAAATAGAGAGGAAGCTCTTGTGTCTTATTGGTAAGGAACTTTGCTACCAATGTAAAGGTACACAGTTTGAATCTACCAGCCGCTCCATGGGAAGAGAGATGGACTGGATCCTCCCATGCAATTTACTGTCTCTGAAAACTCACTGGAACTGTGAGTTGGTTCTGACTCAATGGTAAATAACAATAAGAGAATGAGGTAAGCTTTATGTTGTTGTTATGTGGCGTCGAGTCGCCTGCGACTCATAGCGACCCTATGTACAACAGCCCTAAACTCCGCTCTGTCCTGTGCCAATCGCACTGTCTCTGACACTCCCATCCCAATTATCCCAGTCACTGAATCAATCCACCTCATAGAGGGCCTTCCTCTCCTGCGCTGTCCCTCCACCCTCCCAAGCGTGATGTCCTTCTCCAAGGACCGGTCTCTCCTTACAACATGTCTAAAGTATGTTAGATGGAGCCTCAGAATCCTTGCCTCCAAGGAGCCACCCTGTTTAACCCTTTCCAGGATGAATCTGTTTGTTTTCCTAGCAGTCCATGGTACATTCAGTACTCTTCTCCAGCACCACAGCTCAAAGGCATCAATTCTCCTTCTATCCTCCTTGGTCATTGTCCAACTCTCTGATGCATAACAAGTGAGGCATAACAAGTGATGCATAACAAGTGAAGACCATGGCCTGTATCAGACACACCTTAGTCTCCAGAGAGACACCATTGCTCTTCAGTAGTACTTTGGAGAGGTCCCTAGCAGCAGACTTTCCCATGGCAATGTGCCTTTTAATTTCCTGGCTGCTGGTGCCAAGACTGTTGACTGTAGTGCTGTCAAGCTGAGTACAACTTATAGCGGCTCTATAAACAGACTGAATCCTGGCCTATTCTGTGTCATCCACATCATCTCTGATGCACTTGAGTCCATTGCAGCAGTCACCATGTCAGTCCACCGCATTGAGGGGTCTTCCTCTCTTTCACTGACCTTCTAGTTTTCCAAGCGTGATGACCCTTTCCAAGGCATAACCTTTCCTAGGCCCATGTGTAAAGTATGAGAGCTGGAGCTTCACCATTCTTGCCTCCAAGGAGCACTCTGGCTGCACCTTTTCTAAGACATATCTGTTTGTTGTGTTTGGGTTTTGTTTTGTTTTTAGCAGTCCATGGGATAATCAGAACTCTTCTCCAGCACTCTAACTCAAAGGAATCCATTCTTTTTCAGTCATCCTTATCCATTGTCCAGCTCATAGATCCCTAGGAAGTAATTGAAAAGACCAAGGCCTGAGTCAGGCGCAGCTTAGTTTTCAAACTGAGAAGCTGGTTTTTGGCTCTTACCATCTAGTTGGCCAGCCTCGCCCATATCCCTTCCATCATATGAGTGAGTCAGTGCGTTTCAAACCTGGTGCATGTTGTAATCACTTGAGGACTTGGAAAAGACAGCAGTGCCTAGATGCTGGCCCCAGAGATCCCCAGTTCTGTTGAACACCAGCGATTTTCTTTTTTTTTTTTCTTACGCTTCCAGATGATTCTCACATCTGGAACTCACTGTGGTCAACGCCTCTCCCTCCTGGAGGAGTGTGGGGTGGGTATAGCTAATATAACGGGCTCAGCCATAGCGGCAGTTGTGAGGAAAGCACAAAACTGGACACTGATGTCTTCTGTTGTACACAAGGACCCAGTGAGTTAGAACCCACGAGGACCATTCACATGGAAGAACACTGGGGTCCTGATTTCTTAGGTGAGAATTCTAGAGTAGTGACTTCACCCCATTCAGTCCTCTGTCATCGTCCTGCATACCTTTTTGGACTCTCTTTGTGGGGGCAGGACTTTACAATATCGAAGGCCTGGATTTGAATCTTGGATCTGCCAGGGGTGTTCTTGGACTCCACCTAAGCCTTATTTAGGAAACTTACCTTCCAGGGCGGAGTGTGGGAATTGGAGGAGAGAGCATGCTTTGGAAACTGTTAAGATGATTTGCAAATGTTGCTACTGTGGAGCCATTACCTCATTAACGTCTGTCAGGAGTCAAGGTTGTGAATTCAAGGTTCCAGGAAAGGGGAGGGAAAGATTAGATGTGGGAAAGGGTGAGGTTGGTGGCTTCTTCCTGTCCCTGGGATGAGTTTGGCCCTTGCTTGTCACTTCAAGTAGTCCCATCCCATTTAGGCCCCAGGTGGTGAGTACATGATCCTTTCTCTGGGTGCTGGGCTGAGCGAAGGATAAAGGTGGAAAAGTAGTGGACCACTAGGCAAGAAATTGGTGGTTTCAACCTACAAACACCTTAGAAAACAGGCCAAGTGCAAATCCTATAAAATGCACACGTGGGGTCACCTTAAGTTGAAGTCATCTCAGGGGCAAATAGCAACAGCCTTTGTATGGGGTGGTCATCCTGGCCCTCTGTTCCTTCATTGCTTGGGGCTGGCCTGTTACCACCTCCCTCCTGGGTCTCTCTGGTCATGCAGTTCTTGTCCCAGAAGGCTTCTGAACAGGGGGAGTCCTCTGTGGGCGCCATCCTTCCCTGCTGCTCCTGATGCCTTGATCTGAGTGGTTCTTTGGGGCCCTAAGGAGCCGTAGGGAGCTCAGCCAGCAGAGATGTGGCTATGGAGGAGGCAACTTAAATGACACCCCTCAACTTGTGTGACAGAAATTTTGCCACCTCCTGCCCCGTTACAAAGAGAAGGCTTGTGGGAAAGCCTATATGAGAGAGTGGCTCACTGTTTCCCAGACAGAGGCTACAGTATGGCCAGAGCCAGTCCTTCTCACGGTCACCTGCACCATCTCTTCTCCTCTTCTGGCCTTGCTCCCGTCTCAGTGCTTGCCATTTGGCGTAGATGCCAAGCATTGAGCACATTCACACATTCTTCCTTAGTGACCCTGTTCAGGAGGTATTGGAAGTGTCCTTTTGTTCCTAGACAGGCTCCCTGGGGGAAAGGGTTATGCAATAAGATGACAAAGGGGAGGAAGAAGGGGCCTGGGTTGGGTTTACTGCCCCGCCTGCCACCTGCACCTACCATGTGGCCCAGCTGGCGGCATCCTGAGGTCAGTTTGGGCCTGTGGAAGTGAGTGGTTCTGTTCAGCCCTCTTTCCCAATCTGAATGAGCAGGATAGTCCCTGAACCTTCAGGATGGCGCAGGGGGGTCAGAATGTGTGGAAATGTTAGGATACTCTGTGCATGTCTGAGGTGACAGAGGGACTGCAGAGCTGGGGTTGACTCAGCACCAGTGTGTTCCCCTGCTCCTCTGTCTCACCTGAGAACAGGGGCTCACGCTCTCCTCTCTGCCCTGTCCTCACAGGAGCTGTCCAGGAGGAGGCAATTCCTGAGGGAACACGCTGCCCCCTTTTCCACCTTCCTCACTGACAGCTTTGGCCGCCAGCACAGCTACCTGCGAATCTCCCTCACCGAGAAGTGCAACCTCAGATGTGAGTCACCCACTTCAGCCCCCTCGAGGCTCCTGCTGCCCTGTGTTCATCCCCCCACCCCAGGAATCCTCCTCAGACCTCCTGATCCCTCTTCCTAACATTTTCATCCACCATCTCTAGCCTTCCAGGCCAGGCAGTGTTTAAGGCTGATGCAAGGGTCAGTGTTAGGTTTTACAGTTCTGGAGGATGGGTTCTAGTTTGGGATTAGGTTTGAGAACAGAATTGCCGCTGATTCTCGAAACAGGATTGGGCCAGTGGCTCTCTCTTTGCTTAGGGTTCATTCTTCCTTCTCCACCTGCCTTGTTCGTTGCAGCTTTCCAAGTTCAGCATGTGGTAGGTGGGCACTACAAACACAGGAAACACAGCCCTACCCGCGTGCTGGGACCAGAACTCATTAGAAAGGTGCCCATTTCATAAGCCCATGAGAAGTGCTCTGAGGACAGTTTCCACTGTTGAGAGACTCCCAAACTTTTTGTTTTCCTTCTGTCTTTCTACCTTTTGTGTTTTGCTTTTTTTTTTCTTTTCCACCATAGCTTACAATGAAAAATGACTTACCCTCATAGCCCAGTAAGTGCACATATATGTATATGCATAGTGTTTGTTGTTACTGCTGTTTTTGTTCTGTGCTGTCCAGTCCGAACCGACTCATAGCTGATTCTCCAGTGAGTTTTCAGAGAGGGGTAAAAGGCACCAGAGAAGATTAATCATCTTTTTCCTGCAGAGCAGCTAGTGGATTTGAATTGCCTCCATTTGTATTAACAGTTCACTAGCTAAAAAATTCTTAGCCTTATTATGTATTTCAACAATGCTGCCCTGGATATGCTCACCCAGTTGTGCCAAGAAATCTGGAGGACAACTTACTTGGCCAGCTGACAGGAAGAGACCCATATTTATTCCCATTCCAAAAAAAAAAGTTGACCTGACAAAGTGTGGAAATTATAAAAAACTGTCACTAATATCACATGCAAGTAAGATGACTGAAGCAGTGTATCAGCAGAGAACTGCCAGATGTGCAGGCTGAATTTAGAAGAGGCTGTGAGCACTAGCAGTGTTACAGCCAATATTAAATGGATCTTAGCTGAAAGCAGAGTGTACCGCAGGAATGTCTGTGTTTCATTGACTGCACAAAGACATTTGACTGTGTAGATCACAACAAATTGTGGCTAACCTTGAGAAGGATGGGAATCACAGAACACTAAATTGCGCTCATATAAAACATGCACTTGGGCCAGGAAACAGTGATCAGAACAAAGCAAGGAAACATGGCATGGTTCTGGATTAGGAAAGATGTCCATCGTGGGTGTATCCTATCTCCATACCTCTTCAGTCTGCATGCAGAACAGATAATTGAGAGGCTGGACTTTATGAAGAAGAATGTGGCATTAGGACTGGAGGAAGACTCATCAGCAGCCTGCATTAGGCTGATGACACAACCTTGCTTGCTGAAACTGAGGAGAACCTGAGGTGGTTGCTGCTGAAGGTTGAGGTCAGTAGTCTTCAGTATGGATTGAAGCTTAACATCAAGAAAACAAAGATTCTCACCACTGGGCCAATTGGCAGCATCATGACAGACAAAGAGAATGAGATTGTTGATTATTTCAGCTTGCTTGTTTCCATAATCGACACTCTTGGCACCAGAGTAGTCAGGAAATACAAAAAGCAAATTGCATTGGGAAGATCTGCTATTAGTGCCCTCTCTAGAGTACTGAAGAACATTGATGTCCATCTGGAGACTAAGGTGCACCTGACTCAGGCCATGGTTTTCACAATTACTTGCTATGCATCAGAGGGTTGGACAATGGATATAGATGATAGGAGAAAAATTGATGCCTTTGAGTTGTGGTGCTGGAGAAGAGTTTTGAACAAACCGTGTACTGCCAAGAGTAAAAACAGGTCTGTCCCAGAGAGGGTGAAATCAAGTTGCTCCTTGGAGGCAAGGATTTTGAAGCTCCATCTGACATACTTTAGTCACGTTGCCAGGAAGGACCAGTCCTTCGAAAAGAACATTATGCTTGGAAGAGTGAAAGGACAGCACAGGAGAGGAAGAGCCTGGATGACATGGATTGACTCAGTGACTGGAGTAACAGGAGTGGGTGTGTCAAGAGATGATTGCAGAGCTTTTATATATAATAGGCTCGCTATGAGTCTCAGGCGTCTTGACACAAAACAACAACAACTGCTTGTTTTGGCTAATATTGAGAAGAATGAGATCTGAGAACATCTAATTAGGCTCAAGTGAAAGCTGTACCTAAATCAAGAAGCTTTTGTCTGAACATAGCAAAGGAACATTGTTGTTGTTGTTGTTGTTATGTGCCGTGGAGTCGTTTGCAACTCATAGCAATCCTATGTACAACAGCCCTAAACCCTGCTCTATCCTGTGCCAATCGCACTGCCTCTGACACACCCATCCCAATTACCCCAGTCACTGAATCAATCAATCTCATAGAGGGTCTTCTCCTCTTGTGCCATCCCTCCACCCTCCCAAGCATGACATCCCTCTCTAAGGACCTGTCCCTCCTTGCAACATGCCCAAAGTATGTCAGACGAAGCCCCAGAATCCTTGCCTCCAAGGAGTTGCTTGGTTTAACCCTCTCCAGGATGAATCTGTTTGTTTTCTTGGCAGTCCATGGTACATTCAATACTCTTCTCCAGCACCACAGCTCAAAGGCATCAATTCTCCTTCTGTCCTCCCTAGTCATTATCCAACTCTCTGATGCGTAACAAGTGATTGCAAAGACCATGGCCTGTATCAGGCACACCTTAGTCTACAGAGAGACACCGTTGCTCTTGAGTACTTTAGAGAGGTCCCTAACAGCAGACTTTCCCATCGCAATCTTTTGATTTCCTGACTGTTGGTGCCAAGAGTGTTGACCATGGAGCCGAGCAAACTGAAGCTGTGAACAATCTCAATCTCTTTGCCATCCATCCTGATGCTACCGATTGGTCCGGTGGTGAGAATCTTTGTCTCATAGTTTTAAAATTAAAGGAGTGCATCAGGAATGTAGCCTTTCTTCACAGCTACTCAATCTGTATGCTAAACAAATCATTCTAGAAGTTGAACTTTATGAAAAAGGATGGGACATCAGGATTGGAAGAAGAAGAAGCAACAACCTGCTTTATGCAGATGACACAACTTTTCCTGCTAAAGGTGAGGAAGACTTGAAGTGCTTGCTGTAGAAGGTCAGGAACTAAAGCTTTCAGTATGGATTGCATCTCAACATCATGAAAACAGAAGCCTCACTACCTGGCCAATAGGCAATGTCATGGTAGATTTGGCAATGACTTCGTCTTACTTGGATCCACCCCCTTGTTACCAGCAGTCAAGAAATTAAAAACCGAGTTGCACTGGGAAAATCTGGGGTCAAGGACCTTTCCAGTGTACTAAAGAGCAAGCTTCAGTATGGATTGAAGCTTAACATCAAGAAAACAAAGATTCTCACCACTGGGCCAATTGGCAGCATCATGACAGACAAAGAGAATGAGATTGT